TTGAGAATAGAAATGCCTAAGCCAGTTACGGTCAAAAGCTTGGCTGCATCTCCGGGATCATATATACCAATGCTTAGAGAGATACTTAAGCGATATATGGTGGAAAATCAAAAACAGCAAGAAAACCAATAACATGGCCAACAAAAAAAACCAAGTTATATGGCCCGTCTATTCTCCTTGTTCCCTGTGCCTTCCTTGAAATGGCGATCCGTATCAATCAACCCCAATATGCTGTCATCCTTTGCTGGCAAGCCTAAACAAAGCAACTATGAAGATAAATTTAACATGTTCCATACTGTCTTTGACCTGTCAAGTTTGGGCGTGAACAGGTATTTGTTAATGGTAGCAAAAAATAAAACCGCATTTGCTAATCTAATCAGATCCGATGGTTTTGCAGCGGATGTGGTGTTATATAAGGGTGTGAACAATAATGAAGATGTAACTAAATAAAGCTCAGACAGTACATTTGATATACAACTTCTGAGCGATGCCTTAAAACCTGGTGATGTTGACAATTTCTCGCTGTGCGGTCTAGACCCTGGTAGACAACATGCATTTACAGCATCCTATAACGAGTGAGAAAATTCTCATCAAACAAGAAGAGTCTCGACAGCGGAATACTACAATTACACTGGGTCCATTCATCACCTAAGAAAAGAACAGAAAAGAATGGAGAAGGAAGGAATGAAAAGCGTATTGCTGGGCATCCCTTCGATCAAGACTACATCTTTGATGCAATATCGTATGTGACATATATAATGGCCAATATTCAGAAAATATTAGATTTTTATGGATACGAAACAGCCGAGGGACGCTTTCACTGTTACCAAGGAGGTCGACGGGCCAGAGAAGAAATGGTCAATATATTGATCAACGGTGGTAAGAAGTACAATAAGGATAGAAGAAAAAATACGAGGAAAAACCGCAGAAGGAGAAAGAAAAAGAAAGAGAAAAGGGGAAAAGATGAAAAGAAGAAAGATAAAGAATGCAGCGAAAGGTACCGCTATATAAGCAGCAATGTACTTATTTGATAACTTACGACTGTTTGTCAATAGGCCCGAAAAGCAGTGGTGGCCACAAAAAATTCGTATGACAGAGAGAAAATACCTGTGGTTGCCTTCGGCTCTGGAATGTTTGGAAAGGACAGCATCAAATTCAAAGGACATAGAACAGGAATAACAAGTGTCCTTTACAGAGCATTAAAAAAAAAAGAGAAAGGCAAGGCGACGTTATCGTTATAACAATTGATGAGTTTCGAACGTCAAAAGTAAAGCGTTATTCTCTAATTTTGAATATCCTACTTAACTATCTATAGATCTGCAACTCTTGTGAAAATATGGCGTTCACATCTGCTTTTATAAACTTCCACGGCATCCAATCCTGCGCAGGATGTGGATTGCTTTGGCAACGGGATATAAACGGTTCAAAAAATATTTTCAAGATCGCCAATGGCATCTTTCGTGAATGTGGCAGACCTCAAGCATTTTGTCGCCGTATCGAACACGGTTCTCCTTCTGGAGTTTAGACATTTACTCCTAGTAAGCAAGTACCTCTCTTGGATAAGAAAACCAATGGTCGATTATAAAGATATAAATAAAGTCTTGTGCTTTCCCCCTTTTCCTTTTGAATTTTATGCTTAACGTAGCATATGCTAAACAGCGTATATCTGTAATCATATTATGTGTCGAATAAATTCTACTAAGATAGTCAAATACAAAATAAGAACCTTCCCTCCTATTACCACATAAGATCAATTATTTTATAAAAATAAGATAAAGCATATCTGATATATCTTCATGTCTAAATAGTTGCCATATGGCACGCAAACCTGAACACATACTTAGATAAACAGATGAGTTCTCTATTTAAGTATAATTCAATTTTTCTTTTATATAAATATTAATAAGGAGAAACGGGCTTCAGAAAGAGAGAAGAGAGAAGAAAGAGAGAGAGAAAGAGAGAGAAAAGACATAATGTAGGGTTATTTACAACATCATCTTAAGAGGGTTCTCCATGTATTCCTTGAAAGCTTGCATCCAAGTAGCACCAACAGCACCATCGACAACACGGTGGTCAGCGCTTAAAGCGACCTCCATCACGTCGCGAACAGCGAATCCCTTTTCTGAAGCTTCATCAACGACAATCTTTTGTTGGGTACCACCAACGGCCAAGATACAAGATTGAGGAGGGTTGATGATGGCAGTAAAGTGCTTGATACCGTACATACCCAAGTTGGAGATAGTGAAAGAACCACCTTGGTATTCATGAGGAGCAAGCTTACCATCACGAGCACGCTTGGCCATATCCTTGACTTGGTTAGAGATGGCGGACAATCCCTTGGATTCAGCACTACCAACGATAGGAGTGATCAAGCCATTGGGTGTGGCAACAGCAACACTGATGTCAGCAGTGTTGTATCTAAATAAAAAAAGTTGAGTACAACTGGTATCATCTATTTGTTACACACGTACTGTCTAATAAAGTCGCCTTGCCATGCAGAGTTGACTTCAGGAACCTTCTTAAGAGCAAGGGCAGAAGCCTTGATGACAAAATCGTTGACGGAAAGCTTGTACTTGCCATCAGAAGCCTTGTTGAGAACTTCACGCAACTTGTTGATCTTCTCCATGTTGATTTCAGTTGTGAGATAGTAGTGAGGAACTTGTTGTTTGGATTCGGCCAAACGAGTGGCAATGATCTTTCTCATGCTGGTAGTAGGAATGTCAGTGAAAGCATCGCCGGTAGCGGATTGAGGAGCGTAGGCAGCAGGTGGAGCAGCTGCGGCGGGTGCGGCCTTTTGTTGTTGAGGAGCTAAATGCAAAAGTTGTTAGATGGTGCTTTTACGTTTATATCTCTCGTCTTACCCTTGAATTGTTCGACATCCTCCTTGGAGACAATACCGTTGGGGCCAGAACCCTTGACTTGAGAGATGTCAATACCGCGTTCATCAGCAAGTTTCTACATTTATAAAAGTTAGAGATCAAAGCTGTTTATATAATCCGGTCAACTTACTCTAGCGAGAGGGCTAGCAAGAACACGACCTATAAAGATGAGATTCGATTTAGGCATTGTAAAAAATAAAAATATAAAATGCAGCTATATCGATTTACCTCCATGGCTAGAAACAGCCTCGCTTTCGGCCTTCTTGGGTTCAGCCTTGGGAGCAGCCTTTTCTTCCTTCTTTTCTTCCTTGGGGGCAGCTTCAGCTTGAGGAGCTGAGCTAGAAACGTCGGAAAGAGAGAAGTTCTCAAAGGCAGCAACGTCATCCTTGTCTTCAACAAAGATAGCGATGGGCTATAACACAAGTATTAATTTTTATCGCCTATATTTTTTTTTTCTTCAATGATGTTACCTGTCCGACATTGACATCCTTGGTACCAGTCTCGATCAAGACCTTGGCGAGGTAACCTTCTTCTTGACACTCGAAATCCATTTGGGCCTTATCTGTTTCGATTTCTACCAAAACATCACCGGGTTGAATTTCATCACCTACTTTCTTTTGCCAAGCACCAATGGCACCAGCAGTCATACTATTTTTACCGAAAGTCAATAAACAAACTTTAAGTAACAAAGCTTACAACTTACGTAGGAGACAAGGCAGGCATGTTAATGACACTGTGAGCGGGATAAGCTACACACACACGAAAAAATTTTGGGGTTAGCTCATATACAGGTATGCGATTAAAAGGCGTGTAGACTGCTTACAAGAATAGAAACGAGCATCTTTGTTGATAACTTGGTTAGCTAATGAGCGGAGGGCAATAAACTTGGGTGCACTATTTACGCAATGTTAACAAGGGTATTAAAATATATTTTTCACTTACGAAGTGGCAGAGAAAGCACGAGCAGAAACGTGCTTTGCAAGGATAGGAGCTGCTCTGGCAGCAGTAGCGCGAGTGGTAGAAGCAATGCCTCTCAAAACTTGGCGTCTGAAAGTAACAGCGGACATATCTTACAAGTTATATGAAAAAAGAGAGAGAAAGAAAAAAAAAAAAGTTTTTTTGGAGCTGGGAAAATCCAGGAGAATACGGAGAAAAACCCCAAAGAGTCTGTTGTGACTGTTGGTACCGGACAGTAGCTGATCTGTTCATCATCTTGGGTGCCCTTTCCTTGATGGAGGTTGATAAGGCGTCCCCCCGGACGAAATGTAAAGTCAGATTCATTGGGAATTAGAGTATATTTTTTTCGTAAAGAAGTGTATGTATATTCTGGTTTGAGTAGTACCATGTAAAAGGTGATTTATTAAAGTAATAAGCTCATAGACAGGATTGTGGGTGAATATGAATAAAAAGAAAAGAGGATGTAGATCGAGTGTAAATAACAGAGTTTAAAATATCATAAAGCTACTGCTTCCAGAGTACATACACTCAATGCTGTTCTCCGTAGCTCCTTGCCTGTACAAAAAAAAAGTCTTGCTTTTTGAGAGAGATAGATAGAATACGCATAAACTGTTTTCATACCTGCATCGGTGTAATTAAAAGAGCGAAAATGCTGCAACCTTAACAAATGAGCATTAGGCAGAGTGTAGCAAATAAAAAAGGGACTTTAGGCAAATAAGCTGAGAGCGATTTTGATCTGATAATCATATAATGTATTTAAACTGGTATGCTGTACACTTCCCGTGTACTTTGCTGCATGCTCAAAACGCGTTTCAATACGGTTAAACAATCTTTTATTAAACCCAAGTAGGCACGTAGTGTTTTTTATACTGAAATTGCCCGGACAAGTTCAACAAGGTGGGGGTGAGAAGGTACTGGTGGTGGAGGGGGAAAGTATACAATCCAATAGAGGTGGGTAGAGGGAGATAAACTAATCACTATAATTGGTAAGCTAAGACTTGGTGGTGTTAGGGTTTATGCTTATTTCAACCTGGGTAGGTACCACAATTATTCATAATTTGTTTATTTCCAACGGCCAACAACCAAGAACCATAGAAAACGGCATTAAATCCCTCAAGAGCAAGCTACTGGGAGCGGTTCTGTGGGATTCGGATGCAGGACTTTGGCTTCAAATAATAGATTTTTGACCACTGAGCTACAGGCATAGGCCCCCGCGTTTCAATACAGTGCTTCCAGTAAGTAATGTCACAGCCAATCAAAATCAATTTCATATTTTTAGAGACAATGTCAGAAATCTCGCTTGCTTAGAAATCACGTCGTGGTTCTTGACAACCGAAAAATATAAATAGAGAGGGAGTACTTTTTTCTTTGGTATTTTTTTCTTTTTCAATACTTTACAATTCAACATGAGTACAATATTTCTATATGGAGATGGGCATGGGAATGTTATTGATGAGAATGGTGGTCCTGAGCCCATGGGTTACATAGCTGATCAGAATGAATTTATTGTTGAGACTACTGCTACTCATACAGAGTACTTGGGAAATACAGTCCCCAATGAGTCTTCTCTGACTTGCCCAATATTGTTAGAAAAGCCAAAAAATGAAGATATTCGTATGAAGGAGGCAAAACCAAAGCGAGAATATATGCGTTATACAGTCCAGGATAAGGCTAGGTTTTTCGATCTGAAGATTGAAAAGTGTATGACTGCATCAGCTGCAGCAAAGCAGTTGGGCATTCACACTCGAACAGCTTATAGATGGGTTAGCCAGTATAATGCGTGCTCAGACAGTATTTTTGAGAGCTGTAAAAAGGTAGGTCGTAAGTGCATCTTAACTGAAGAGCATAAAGCGACTGTTATCAACTTCATCGATGCTAATCCCTCTGCTACTGTTGTTGAAGTAACCGAGCATTTATTGAAGCGATTCCATGATCTTAAAGTATCACGCAGCACTGTTAATAACTTCATGAGACGTGAATGCAGCCTTTCATTGAAAAGAGCAGATTTTCATTCTATTGAGAGAAACAGTCCAGCAAAGATTGAGGAGCGGCACAATTGGGTTTGTAAATGGGAAGATACAGACATGAACTTTCTGATGAATTGTGCGTTTTTTGACGAGTCTGCTTTTGATATAAATATGAAATGCTCAAGAGCCTGGTCCAATAAAGGTACTCGTACTATTGTTACCAGGCCTACTACGAGGGCAAATATAACGTCTATATTGGGCGCTATCTCTGCCTCAGGTTTGATTACCGTCGGAGTAAAAAAACCTAGACCTGCAAAGAAGAGAAAAGCTGCTGGATATATAAGCTCAGGAACTGTAACAGGTCACTACATTAGTTTCTTAAAAATGACTCTCGATGAAATGGACAAACACACACATATGAAAGGCCACTATATTATTATGGATAATGCACCCATTCACACGCATGAAAACATAAAGAAGTATATTAAGTATCGGGGATATAAATGTGTGTATCTTCCTACTTACTCTCCTAAGCTTAACCCAATTGAACAATTCTGGGCAGTGGCAAAGAGTAAAGTTAAGCGTCATCGGTTTTTGTAGGAAGACACTTTGTCCAAGAGGATTACAGAAGCCTGCAACAGTGTGAAGAAAAGTCATTTCAAAGGGTTTGTCTTGCATTCTTATCGGTGTTGGGATAAATGTCGAAACAGACAACCAACGTAATGACCTAAACGAATGTGCAATTAGGAGAAAATGGCAATCAGACAAAAAAAAAAGTGCATTTCTCTTGGTTCATCCAATTTTATTTTGATCAAAGGGAAATGGGGAGAAAAAAGTTGGTAATGAATGAAGGAATTAATACGCGCGCAATTGTTTTTGGATACGGAGGGCCACTGTTTCATTTGCCTTGGAAATATCGGATGACATGATTGCTGCCATATGTTGTAGAATTTGGTTGTTCAAAATACTGTTGCCGATGATTGCCATCTCCATGTCGCCAAACAGATGCAAAAGATCCCCAAATAATTTCTTGATATTCCCATTATTTTTGCATTTGTCATGCAACGAAGCAACAAAATCCTTGTCAAGGTGTGCTTCGGAAGGCGAATGAATGATGGAATAAGCGATCTGCTGGAAAAGTCGAGATGCGATCATGGAGGCGTTTTCATTGTCCATCAATTTTGTTGAGCCTTCATAATCGCAGTAGGTGAAGACTGTGTAGGGCTGTAAGTGACTAAGTAATGTGGCATCGCTGGATGCACGGCAGAGGTAATAAGTGGTTGGATGGTGGAACTGTGAACGTAGTTGCCTCTGTCGTATTTATCCTTCCTTTACTAACTAATCTTCGTGTGAGATTACTCCATTGCTATACTGCTTACAGTCATTCTACATTTAGCATTACGTACCCCTATTAATTTATTTTGTAACATGTCGGATTGTAAATTATTATTTTATATACCAAGCCTTACTTTGTATTAATGAGCTCCTCATCTTGTTTTCTCACCAATAAAGAGGTTCAAAAGTCTCATCGACATATAGTCTTTTTATCCTTGTTATAACTCAGGTATAATATAAGTACTTATTAACAGATAAATATCACAGCCTCGCCTGGGCAATCAAACTGAACGGATCGATAGATCGTGTTGACGCATTTGATTCGATCTTTTTTACCTTTGTCCAACTGACCTGATCGATGAATATTTTCGTATGCTGTGGTGACGTAGCAAAATGACACGATGACGGCCTCACTTTTGGTTCCTCGCTTTGGTCCAGACGTATAATGGATGTAATTAATGCAGTACAAGTTTGGAACCGACCCCTGTACTTCGAATGTGTGGCCAAATGTTGGCGCACGTTGGTTTAGTTGTGAAGATCGACATGTTTGATGAAAATGGCAGTTTGCAATGGATATCGGCTGATTTTGTTCCTCCATACATTTCCACCGTATTCACAAGAATAGCTTCGCCGTTGCTGACGTTCATCAGAACTGTACCTGCCAGTACCTGAGCACAGTCAAATTTGACTTATGGTTCATGCAGCCAATCCTTATTGAGCAATAGCTCTGTAGTATCGTCCAATTCGAAATATTCACGGCTTGCGAGCAGCCGTCCATGTGGTGACTTGTAGATCAGAGATGCCAAGCCGTTGCAGATACTTGGTTCAATCGCATTGGTGTCCAATTGTCGCTTTGATGGGATGATCGGTCTGCAGTCGAATGTGCGGTTGCTCATGCTTTTGATGTTTTTATGGTGGCTGAACGCATCGTATTCCACTTCATTTCCGTCATCATCACGGCTAATGAGAGCAAATGGTTCCAAGGGTATTCTTTCAATGATCCATTTATCTTCGGTCCTTTCTTCTTCGGTCGCATCCATGGATTGACACGCATGTATGATTGCTTGGTCATAATCACGTTGCATCTTTGATGTTTTCATCGAGATTGGCGTTGCCGTCACGGCTGTTGTTTTGGGCACGGCAACAAGCTTCATTGCCACCGTCATATCCTCAGAATCATCATCAGCCAAATTCACATCTGGGGACAGGAAAAATGAATAATTAGCTCACACGACAGATACTCGTATTTTTTTTTTATCACATTGTTCCTGGATACTAACCTGCATTGCTACCGTTAGATTTGCAGACTTTGATGTGTTTTTTGAAGGAATCCACGGAACGGTACGTTTTGTCGCAAAAAAGACACTTCAAAACATCGTTCTCTCTTTGAATTTCAACTTCTACTTTGCAATCTACCACAAATATGATCAATGAGCTGACATTCATCTATTACATCACCTTGTTTTCAAGGTTTCTCGTTTTACCATTCGTCATATAGTCCACCGTATAACATGCAACATAATATTAATACTTGTGATTGGACGCTGCTCTTGAGGTTTGGAAACTTGGTTTCTTCTCTTTGCACAGTCCGATTGCACAGTGAATATCTGTTTCTGTTGTCTGGGCGAAAAATCAAACCTCCCTTTTTTTTTTCTCGACACTGCTTTTTTTTCCCCATTTCCCTTTGATCAAAATAAAATTGGATGAACCAAGAGAAATGCACTTTTTTTTTTGTCTGATTGCCATTTTCTCCTAATTGCACATTCGTTTAGGTCATTACGTTGGTTGTCTGTTTCGACATTTATCCCAACACCGATAAGAATGCAAGACAAACCCTTTGAAATGACTTTTCTTCACACTGTTGCAGGCTTCTGTAATCCTCTTGGACAAAGTGTCTTCCTACAAAAACCGATGACGCTTAACTTTACTCTTTGCCACTGCCCAGAATTGTTCAATTGGGTTAAGCTTAGGAGAGTAAGTAGGAAGATACACACATTTATATCCCCGATACTTAATATACTTCTTTATGTTTTCATGCGTGTGAATGGGTGCATTATCCATAATAATATAGTGGCCTTTCATATGTGTGTGTTTGTCCATTTCATCGAGAGTCATTTTTAAGAAACTAATGTAGTGACCTGTTACAGTTCCTGAGCTTATATATCCAGCAGCTTTTCTCTTCTTTGCAGGTCTAGGTTTTTTTACTCCGACGGTAATCAAACCTGAGGCAGAGATAGCGCCCAATATAGACGTTATATTTGCCCTCGTAGTAGGCCTGGTAACAATAGTACGAGTACCTTTATTGGACCAGGCTCTTGAGCATTTCATATTTATATCAAAAGCAGACTCGTCAAAAAACGCACAATTCATCAGAAAGTTCATGTCTGTATCTTCCCATTTACAAACCCAATTGTGCCGCTCCTCAATCTTTGCTGGACTGTTTCTCTCAATAGAATGAAAATCTGCTCTTTTCAATGAAAGGCTGCATTCACGTCTCATGAAGTTATTAACAGTGCTGCGTGATACTTTAAGATCATGGAATCGCTTCAATAAATGCTCGGTTACTTCAACAACAGTAGCAGAGGGATTAGCATCGATGAAGTTGATAACAGTCGCTTTATGCTCTTCAGTTAAGATGCACTTACGACCTACCTTTTTACAGCTCTCAAAAATACTGTCTGAGCACGCATTATACTGGCTAACCCATCTATAAGCTGTTCGAGTGTGAATGCCCAACTGCTTTGCTGCAGCTGATGCAGTCATACACTTTTCAATCTTCAGATCGAAAAACCTAGCCTTATCCTGGACTGTATAACGCATATATTCTCGCTTTGGTTTTGCCTCCTTCATACGAATATCTTCATTTTTTGGCTTTTCTAACAATATTGGGCAAGTCAGAGAAGACTCATTGGGGACTGTATTTCCCAAGTACTCTGTATGAGTAGCAGTAGTCTCAACAATAAATTCATTCTGATCAGCTATGTAACCCATGGGCTCAGGACCACCATTCTCATCAATAACATTCCCATGCCCATCTCCATATAGAAATATTGTACTCATGTTGAATTGTAAAGTATTGAAAAAGAAAAAAATACCAAAGAAAAAAGTACTCCCTCTCTATTTATATTTTTCGGTTGTCAAGAACCACGACGTGATTTCTAAGCAAGCGAGATTTCTGACATTGTCTCTAAAAATATGAAATTGATTTTGATTGGCTGTGACATTACTTACTGGAAGCACTGTACAAAAAGACTGTAATGTGACAGAACAATGACCTGGATACACACTTGGAAAAGGTACCTTTAAAATATATTAAAGAAGTGTAATATAAAGTGAACCATGATACAACATTCTGACATAATGATGTTGTTGTTGCTGTAAAGTGTTCGTTACTATAGAGTTACTATGATAAAAGCGTTGCCAAATGAACAAATAAAATGTATTTTCCTAAAATGGTAATACATTCTATGACAAACTCTTTACACGTGTAAACTACCGCTTTTTATATTAAGCTTGAATTTTTTTCATTTAAAAAGAAACAATAAAAGATGGAAAAAGGAGCACTGATCACCTTTTTAATACTAAGCTGGTCAGTTTAAAAAATCATTCTTTCTGGTAGTCCCTGATCGCAATGAATAATAATAGTAATATATCCGTCATGAATTAGCCTGTTACACTATTACTGTGCTTATTTTCCAATTACAGACCTTTACTTTTCAAGCATCCTTTTCTTTCTTTCTTATCTTATTTTTTATCTTCCTTTACTTCCATTTCCTTTTTACTTATCATAATTTATCCATCATGTATAGAAAACAAGATGATTCACTACACTCTTCTATTCTTCGTGTAACAAAGTCTAATTATTATGACCGTGACAGTGGTATAGCAACAACAGAGACAGAGGACGAGAGTGCAGCGCCGACCTGCATATTTAGTGACGACGATGACTATTATAAACGAGCCAATACTTCAGCCATAAGTTATGCTATAGACAAAGACAGCAGTATATCTTCTCTGCTACACTCTCCAAACTACTTTGCTAATCTAGGAGATCAGGCAATCTATTCTCTCAAAGATTTCATGAACGATCACGACTGGAAAAAAGTGTTGAAGCATAAGAGCGGCGTTACTGTTTATATGCTTCAAAAGCAACATAAAGGGGAAAAATCAGCACTGTTTCGAGGAGAGACTGTCATTGAAGGATTTACCCCTCAATCTATCTTTTATGTGATCGGTATGAGGAAATTATGGGATGAACAGTAAGGGCGTAGATATACTAGTGTTCTTCTTTTGCCAACTTTCGCCCTTATTCCTTTAGATTTGAAGAAGGAAGGCTGATAGAAAACTTGAATGATACAACTTCGTTAACTTACGAATCATATAAGTCAACCTCTTCATCAAAGTAAAATACACGTCTTTTTTTCTTTTAATAAAAGAAGGAGAACTAATAGCTTTATTAGAGCTTATGATGTGACACTTGTAGAAAAAATTGATTGCTCTGCAGACGGAGAAATCATCTTTGCCTGTACAAGCGTAGATACCCCCAAGGCCCCAAAGGTGCCTGGAAAAAATAGACATCACGTCAAGGTAATGAAGGATACTCTGGATGCATAGATCGATGTTAACATTTCCCTTTTTGTTCTTTCAAAAAAAAAGTTACAAGGTTGGATACTTCGACAAACAAGTTCTTATCCACCGGCAACCAAAGTTACATTTATTACACAAGAATATATCAGGGGCTGGATACCTGGACTCACCAAGAAATCATTGGCTAGAAAACCTTTAATTATTGCTGCCATCGACGATTACTTGCAACGAAAGGCAGACAGATTAAAGACTCAGGGGCACAGCAATCAGAAACAAATATCAGAGCCTTCTATACCTAGAACTGTCACACCTCCTTCACCATCCTCCACGCCCAGGTCTATTCTTAGTCTGCGTACGCCTTCACCTCCGTATGTACATTTGCTTAATGATTGTCTTACAGCTAACTCTATCTTTTTAGGAACCGACCTGTCTATATGCAGTCTTCACCTACACTAGGAATTGCGACACCCCCACTTACCAAGGACTATCCAAAGGGACGTATCATCTTGTCCAACCCGCCGCCACGTGTATCCTCACTAAGCTCAAATACGCCAAAGCAAGTTAAATTTGCAGATGATCCAGTACTGAAACCTACTACATCCAATCCATACTTACCAAAGTTACCAGAAGTTCATCCAGCGAGACTCTATCCAGCAAGCCGTCATAGGGAGGCGCGCAAGGAAAGTTTGGAGTCATTGAAAAGACATGTGGAAAGTGATCTGGACGAATGGAAATCGGCAGGAGAATCGGAGCATGCCAAATACTATATCAAGCCGCTTCCCGATACAGCCTTACCGATCATGCGAAGCGACTGTGAGATTCAAGGAGATTGGTCGCCAGAGCAAGTTTGCTCTGTGATTCAATGCTTTGGTGCTCGAAAGAAATGTAGGTTCTATTGGGTACTAGGTATATGTTTTACTTAACCTACCCGTAGGGGATGAACATTTTGAGGATGGTCAAGTAGTAGAAAGATTTTCACAAAAGGAATACTTGATTCATATCAAAATGAAAAGTTTGTTTCCTATTCAAAGCCGAGATTTTTCAGTTCTCACAAGTATCGAAAGCAACATCAATACAGGCGCAGTCTATATCGTGTCTACCAGTGTAGAGGACGAATTACTGCCATTAGAAGAAAAGGAGCAACAACGTACGCGAGGACATTACACGACGTACGGATGGGCGCTTCTGCCGAGCCGGAACTCGGTCAAGGTCACTTTTATTGCTCACATGCACCTCGGAGGCACGACACCATTACCATCATCCATTGTCAGACGATTGACCACACAGGTCCCGTCCTGTCTGGATCGAATACAGAATTATTTGGATCAAGTGGGCTGTCCACCCTATATTCGTCGGGTGGCAGGTAAGATCGTACTAGAGCAATTTGATACAGAGAGCAAGTCGTATTCGATGACCTATATGGCCAAACACGCTCCATCACGAAGAAATCACTCGTCGTGGTGCACAGATCTTCGTGTACATCCACGCATGTATGCCTTGGGTTATCATGTCGAGACACAGCCGCTGGATGGCGTACGAGTAGAGATCAGGCCAGGTGTCGGATTGAGGGTTTATACGGAAAACGAGGCGTTGGAAGGAGAAAGGATTCATTTGACGATTGTTCCTGTGTCAGAAGGCACTGAGCCACGATATACCTGGAACAGTTCCGATATTATGGAAAGCAAAAGGATTGAAAAAGTAGTAATAGAAGAAGAAGAAGAAGAAAAAGAGCAAACAGAGGTTCGAGTAGAGAAACAAGTAGATGTAGAACATTCAGATGAAAGTCATGTAGATATTATGGAACCGTTACAGATTGAAAAAGTGAATGTAAGTCTTTTAATTCGCCGCTTTTTTATATGTATAATAATTGTTTATAAATCTTTTTAGGTTGATGAGGAAGCACCTGTTGTTGTAAAACGACGGCATAGTGCAGACATTGTCATAACAGATGAACTTGCATTTTCCATGGAGCAGTTTTCATTTATTATTATGCTCATGCTAGTATGCTATTACTTGGGGAAGTTGTCCTGTCAATGTTCTGTATAGACAATTTTTTTTATTATAGACATAATCTTTAATGTATAATGCATAATGCATAAAATAATTTTGTACATGATATTGAATACAAAGGTGCCATCCAATCGGAAAGAGTCTTTTTTGGCTCTAGTAAAATGTTTACAATTTTTATATAAATGGTTTATTGGATAAAGAAAGTAAAGTCAAAGAAAAACTCTTGTATTTTGATTCAAAATGCTCGAAAGATAATGTTATTTATGAAAAATAATGAGAGGTTGATTCAGTTCTTTTAGTACTTGGCTTGAAAAAAAGACATATAAAACGACAGTTGTACTAGATTGTACCTTAAATATCTTTTATGCTCTTCTGCTTTTTCTTTTCTTTGTGAGTTTGCAAACCAAAGTTTATACAGAAAACTAGAAAAAGTATGAGTATTCAGATATATTTATTATTATACTTAACAAACAATAAAATAAAGCTGCTGTCAATAAGCATCGAACTCATCAAACGTCGCACATTTCAGTAGTAATACAACATAAGATAAATAAGGCTTTGGGCTTTTTTGTTGTTTCAAAACACTCTTTCTTTCTTTTTCCCTTGTTGCAGTATCTCATGACGATGGCAGCGATTCATCGACTGCCAGCAGATATACTCAATCTTGTCTTTCAGCACACAGAAAGAACAACCCTTAAAGAATGTCGGCTTGTTTGCGTATCGTGGTATCTTTTGACTACACCGTATCTTTTTTGTAGTATTCAAATTAAAAACACATCTCAAATTGACGAATCCATAGACTTTCACGAAAACCCAGCATCTTATCAACTTGTTCAGTGTGGACAATATGTCAAACGGGTCACTACTGGTAGGGGCAGAGGGTTGATTGATGAGATCATAACATTAGAAAACTTTGAAAAGTTTGTGAAATATTGTCCCGATGTTACATCAGTTCGCATTTCTCGGTTTGTTTGTAATGACAGCTTGTATTATTACATATTTGAAGTTGATGGTAATATAAAATGGAAGCTGCATAGATTTGATCGGAATCCTGAAAATCAAAGGTTTAAATTGCGTTATTTCTACAAGTATGCAGACACCATCAAGGTCATAAAGTGGCTCGAGAACATTCGATATTTTCATTTTGTAATAGACTTTCCATTACTTGAAGAATTGGCTTTACCTTCGACAGCGGCTATCACAGACGTACAGGATTTCATGTTCGTTTGTAATGCATGCTCCAATCTAGCCAAATTAGAACTGCATACCAAAATGAGCGATAACGTAAGTTCGGTGACTGACTTTGCTATACAGTCTTTCTGGAAAGTAAATTCGCCTGTGATCGAAAATAAATGCACTCAATGGTGAGAACAAAATTCATGTTGTATGAAATGTAAATTCGCCGTTACCAAGAATATTTTCGTAGTGCCAGCCTTGACATCCATGGAGATACTGTATTTCCAAATTGAGATGTCGTATTGAAACCGTTGTAATGTTATCAGAGTAATAACAAATACGGCTCACTATCCCATTTAACAGTAATATTAACAGGTGAGCTATCTTGGAGTTGAAATTAACTTAAATATTAGAAATAGTACTCTTTAGTCTCCTTGTAAAAGTTTAAATTCTTTATTCGGTTTTTCCATATAGTCATATTTGGCAATGCATATTCTTGAAGCAGATTGCTTCTGTTTGACATGATTTCTTTGTCCTAGGTACCCGATCCTGAAACCTGTTTGAAAAAGAAAAACATAAAAACCCATTTTAATCGAGTCCTTTTTTTGCTTCTTTACAGGAGTGGGTGTGGGGTAAGGAAAGACACCCACAGCTGGATGACCGATGACCCACTCGCCTGTCCTTACCTTGGTTTTTTTAAAGCCTCCTACTTCCATGGCCATACCCCTCCGACTTGGACAACCTTACCTTCCTTGGATATCTTTCTCATCATGTAGTTCTACACATCCTCCCCGTGGCCAGTCACCCATCCTGCCTTCCCTTGGCCCCCTATACTACTTCTTCATCTACTAGTTGCGGTATAACCCAGTGGATGTGCAAACCTCTAAGGGTGGTGGAGGGTCTCCACAGCAGTTATCAAATGTCCCTCTGAGTGTTCAAAGATTCACCAATCAAAACTAACCTGTCCTCATGGTCCTTGCTCTAACTCGCTTGTCCCGCCCTCTTTGCTCTCTGGCGTGTATCTGAAACGTTCCCCAATAGTCTCTTCTGACGCCCTGGGTTCTCTCTGTCCTCCGTTCCTTTTTTTGTTTAAACAATCCTGGGTAGTTATCGCTACCCTCCCCAGAATGCACCTTGGTGGTAAGTAAAACTAATATTAGGATATGTGCTCTAATACTAACATATGTTTTCTCTCTTTTTCTACATATACTCATTATCTCTCTCTTTTGATATGATGTCGTTTTATTTAAACGTATTTTTCTTTGTCGTCTTTTTACGAAAACATTTTTTTTTTATTTTACGACAATATTTTTATAAAATTAACGTCAATAATTAATAAAAATACAGTACTAAAACAACCAAAAACTAGAGCACAGATCGGGGCTATTCACTCGTCTAGCGTTGTTCACGTTGTCATAAGAAAACCTCCACCAAGAGAAAAAAACACAGGCTGCTAAAAAA